GACTACTTCCACAGTACTCACCTCCCTTTTTTCTACCCTTGTGTCTGCCTCTTTTACATCTTCGAAACACTCTTCTGTTTCCCCCCCCCCTCTCGAATTTTTTCACTTGCTGTTCCCTCTCCTCTGTGAAGCCTGAAGTCAACTATCGGGCTAATGATAACTATCAAAACGCCTGTCATTTGATATAAATGAATAAATCTGACACAAAGAGAAAGATTAGAAAGCACAAAAAGGTAAAATGAAGACATTTAATCAAAATGCTTTGGAAAGCAAGTACCAAGGCATCTGAAATATCAGTGATGGTAACACTTCTGCTTACACCATTAACTATTTATGGAAATTAGCGGTTCCCCCAGCTAATAACATTGCCTCCTGCATTTTTCCTTATTTTAATAGGCGGGCGAGGGTCAGAATCTCCTTTCGATCTAAAAATTCTTTTTATTTTCAGTTTGAACCAACGTGGTACATATTATTACAATAAGATCCTTTGACGTAAGGTCAATATATAATAAAATGTTGAATCAATCCCGCCATATAATGGTGTGTTGTAATTGCTCAGATCCTTGAGCGTGGGAAATCTAATCCAACATGAATTGCCTTAACTTGGTCACTGCTAATCCGTTTTGTACTGGCATGACCAAATAGTGATTGGCTGGAGAAGGATGATAATAATTGGTCGCACAACGGACCAATGGAGGAACAGTGCCATAGTAATGAAGTGTAACTGCACTTCCAAGGGACACAAGAGTAATGTCTCTAATTCCTATCAAAGTAATATTATTGCTTAATATTAAGCAGAATTGCTATTATCTAACCACAATGCAGTATCTAAACACGGGGCGATAGATATTTACCTTTATTTAAATTAGAATACTTCCAGTTGTCTCCTTGTTCGTTAGCGGGCTCCACAACCAACCTTTTGAATTTCAACTTTGAGGAACTAAACCCAAAGTCTCTGAAAATTTAGAGCTCACTAACCTGTTCATCGAGGTCATCTAAACAAAGTTGTATAACCACTTCTCAAGGTCTAGCGAAGTGCGAACTGAGTCCTTAGTCAATAGCAAGCTTTAAAACAAATGCGACATATCATCATATAATTTATTTATTGGAGAGCCATTTACAGAAAAGGAATCGACCACAGATACATATGTACAAGATTATTCATAAAAGAGAGGAATAGATTCAAGCAAAACTAAGACAAGTGAGAAGGTTCTCAATCTTTCCAACAACATTTTGCCCAGACACTCGAGTCAAATCCACCTTTCGGAAGTGAAACCGGGTGTTGCTGCTGTCTACACAAGAGAGCAGATTCTGCAGTAGATCACCTCGACTGCCAGCCATGATCAGTTCATTCTGTTTCGAATTGGCTACCCAAAACTCCAAATCCTCCTCCTTATCGCTCGCTCGAATGCAGACAACCCTGAAATATGCACAGATGAGTCTAGAAGAGCGGTGGGTTCATCGACGAAAAAAGAGGTCGATGGAATATGTTGAAGCAGAATGAGGAAGCATCTCAATTTTTACGGAAACGCTAAGGACTTGATTCTTAAAAGTGAGGATTTGCCTAAATCCAGCGTTGTGATTGAAGACTCTAAGCTCCAGAGCATTAACATGATGTGTACAAGTTAAAAAGAGAAATTGCATCGAACAATAACTTTTAGGACATCAGCAATATTTACGAATCCGATATGACGCTAGAGGAGGGCTCGTAGTGGAGGCGTCACTCTCGATTAAAGAAGGACTTTTAGACAACCAGGATAAAAAAAAGTCCATCGTCACCTTAAGATTACACCCCTCCATCCACAACATATCACGTAGCATTGGCACACATCACTGGCCAATTCAAATCCACCATATGGTTCTTTTAATGGTATTTTCATAATAACAACTAGAAACCGTGGTTCGTAATGTTCCAGATAGGTCTTTTAAACAAAAATTTGACGATTATACTTCATATTTCAAAAAATACCTATTTCCACTACGAGAAGCCAGTAGAAGGGCACTTAGAGGAGAATCCACGAAAGGCATCCCTGGGCATCCAAGTTGAACCCACCCCAGAAACTTTGAGGTAAGGCTTTGAATTGTATACATCTTAGTCCTCAGTTCCTGCAAAAGAAAGAGGATTTGGAACTCACTACCCTTTCCAACATAAGCGATAAAATGGAGCATACTCTAACCACCCCCACCCCACAAATGGCTCTAAGATGTAAGAGAATTATCTTCACGTCTTAACCTTCTAATTCTCACTCCACCTACTTCCATTTCCATGCAATGAATTTATTTCTCATTTTTGATTGCAAATTTCACGCTATACAAATCAACTTATCGGCACGAAACACGGTGGTTTGGGCCACTTTTGATTGTGGTATCGTCGTGAACAACCTAAAGAACACGTTCAATATGTTCCAACTTCTTGCCTTCACTTCACAGGGCCGAAAATTCAATTCCCTTCCTCAATCAAATTATTTGATCCCTGATCACGCTTTGGCCATTATCGTGTGCTCCAGTAAACAGGACTAATATCCTTGGTGTGTGTTGTAGCCATTGATTTTACCACAATGCGAACTAAAATAATCGGGAGGACCAGCTTTCAACGGCTAGCTCAATATAGTACTTAAAGAGATGAAAAAACATTGCAAATGATTCTGTTTGGGATCAAGACTACCCTGGCGGGTTTGAAGCTTAACTAGAGTCTAAATGTAGAGAACAGTGTCAGACAAGCTGCCACACTCTACATGACCTTAAATGCCTAAAAGACAAAAAAAGTAGAGCGCTACGTTGAGATCAGATCAGGTAGTAAGTTGAAAATGTCGCACATAAAATCCTGCATTAAGGTGAGTCTGTTTGTCTGAGATTTCAGATCCAACCTTCATAAGTCAGGGTTCTCATCCTCATACGTGCAACTTAACAAATAAGGACTATTTACAAAAGATACTCAAACAGTTATCTGTCTTTCAAACAATTGATATGTTGGTGATTAGAGTACTTAGCGTTCTCTAAAGATGCATTAGCTTTCATTATTCCATATTTCCCTATTGGCGAACAGAAACCACGTGAAGAAAACGATTGAGGAAAGCATACATAACCGAAAACCATATAAAATAATATTCTTGATCACTGCTATATAGTAAATATAAAGTACATTTGAAAGACTTGGCAACAACTGGATTTATAACGATTTTCCAACCTACCTATCTCAAGACCACAACTCTGCCTCTTCCCATATTGTCATTAGATGAAGATCATTAAAAACGAAAAAGATAGTGCCAAAACTAAACCAATCTTTTCAAATCCTAACTCGCTAGGTAACTAAGAGCTAATCAGCTCTTAAAATGGAGAGGATAAGTATAAAAGAACCAATTTCTTTCAACATACTTGAAGCTTGAGGATGCGCAGAAGTTCTTGCTGCAAATCCGCATTTGCAGGGATGTTGATGGCCGGAGATGTTCCACAAATACCTTTAATCGAGACCTCCTCAACTCCCACAGATATTAGAAACCGAGTGGAGCAAGTTGCATGACCCAAGGAGTACATCGTCACCCTAACACTAGAGGAGAGCATAGTAGAAATGGTGCACCACACAGTAGTAATACTCATTCTTTCCTCGGCAATTTCACGAACAAATTTAGTCAAGATCGTCGCCACATTCTGTCTTAGCACTCTATGTCGAGCTATCTTTACTACTGGCGTGAGAAGACCATCCCCTGAGCCTAAAATGCAGGCTATCGCCTCAGGAGAAGCGCGATTCGATCTGAGGTCGTGTTCCAAGCTGCTTAACATGAGTCCTGAGACGGATACTTCATCAGGAATTGATTGGACCTGTTGTTGCAAAGACTGCTGATTTAGAGCCCAATCGTTGAAGTAGGCGTAGCGTTCCTGACCCCTTGGAGCTGAATAGGGTTGATGAGGAGCGGCTCTTAGAGCCTGATTCTGATAGGTGATCCATGCTGAGGCTGCAGAATTACCCATACCGGCCACGCAATTAGTGATTATGGGTACCCCTCCGTCATTTTGACCTTGTGGAAACTTGGAGCTATTAAGAAAGATTGAAGCACCTCCACCACGAAGATGCAAAGGCACTTGAACCGGCCCAGTTGCCGGATACGGAATACTAGCGATGTTAAACCATGATTGAACATGCTGACGGAGGATCAATCTCTTCAATTGGGTACTCAACGCTGGATACTCTACCTCCCCACTTTCCAGAGGGGTGTCATCAGCTTTTTCCAAACTAATGGCCAATTGAACCCCTGGATAAATTGTAGCGATAACTTTGTTCTAGTTAATAAAAGAAGAGCATCAGTGTCAGATGAATAAAAGACCTTACCGGAGAAGAAAAAGCAATAAGATCATTATTGAATTTATCGATCCCAATCAATGATGATTCATAAAAGAGAATGGACATAATCTCCCGGCACATAAGCAAATGTTGTGCCAAGCATAGACGATCGAATTGAGTTTTGGGGCGCTTAAATTGGCGACACAAAAGTGGGCCGTTGTTTTGAGGAACAAGAGATTTAAACCAATCTTTCTTGTTATTTCCGTCAAGATGACGGATTGTAACACGAAGACGACCAGTGACTTGCTCTTTGTTCAAAAGGGACTCCATTGTGGAGCTAAATTTAACTTTGATCGGTTCGTATACCCCCTCAGAGATCGGTTGGGTTTTATCGGCTTCGACGATCTCAAAGATCCCTCCTTCCTTGCCTCTCGAACCAATGCAGCGGAGACTGACATCCCCCAAAATGCTGTTTTGGCTCAATTTTATTCGCCAGGATTTACGTAGCTCCAATAAACTTTCATGATAAGAGAGACGTCGTTGGCCATCGGCAAAACGTTGCTGTTCTTGAATCTTTTCAATATTCCTGGCCCGAAAACGCTGGGCACCTCTTAGAAGAATGGTCGCAGCATTTGAAAGAGCCTGATTTAAATACAATAAATTAATACTAATTCAGACAAACCGTTTTCTTCCCTCCAAGACATGTTAGCGCTTGAGCATTTAGATTACGTCCACCGAATTCCGAGTCTTGGTCACTAGGAGCGACTTGAAAAATGGCCATACATCTAGTTTCTTTATAAACCGAGATAAAATCCAAAAAAGCACACACTTCACCGTATGACGATCTGGAATATGAGAATGATTGACTAAACTTTACTATACCTTATCCATTCACGAATATTATTCCAACTCTTTTCCGAAATTTTACTAACTTTACCCTCATCCTCATCTTTGGCATCTTTTATTCCATAATTCTCGTCACTAAAATCAATACTGCCGACTATTCGTTCGAATTTGTCAGTCGCTGTCAACGGTCTAAATTATCGTCTTTGAAAATGATAATTTAATGTATACCTTTCTAAAATTTCTTTCCCGTCGTTTAATATTTCCAATACTTTATACTCTGAAAGAGCCTCAATGGGTAAGCTAATTTTTTTCCGAGCAGACATTACTTAATTAGCCCTGGCAAAACAGCCAAGGGCCTAAACCTCTATTAGCCAATAAACGAAAAGTTGATCTTTTCACATTGGGCGCTTCTATTATGAGAATTTATGTATTGCCCATTTATCTTCAATTTAATTATGGAAAAAGACTATAAGACAATTAACAGTATAATTGAGCACATTTTTACAAATATACTAAACATATCCAAAGATATATATGTATGGTTTAATAAAATCTTTAAGCTAAACGTTTGATCTTCAAATGCTATTTTGACATTTAGTAGAATGCTCACGAGTATAAAAATTATTACACTATTTCTTCTTATTGAGACGCAAGAGTATTCTTTCAAGTCTTATTACTCACTTTATCAGAGAAGTGCGTCTACTGCTAAATCATGACAAATTTTACTTTATAGATAATTTCGTATTAATTTTTTCTTCAATTCAAGTTTTTTGAGTACTTAAAATTTCACACATATAAAAAATGAAAGCATCTATATTCACAAGTCAGCTTATTGTATATGCACTATACATATCTTGATTAGATATAAAGCAGCAATTACTATTTATAGAAATGCACTTCTACTCATCGTTTTTGTTTTTCCCATAGCCTACTTCATTCACAAATGGCATATAAATTATTAGTGAAAGTTACCGCCAACATTATCGCGTAAAGCCACTTTTGATAAATGTTATGTTGTTGATGTTATATTATGTTATGTTTTGTTATGATGAAAGTACTTAATGAACGCAGTTTCGGAAAAACTCTACTTATTAATTAAAAAAACTATTTGATGTGTTGCTTTAAATATGGAAAGAATATTTTCAATAATATGCTTTATTAGTTACTGAATTTCATTTTCATATCTCCTAAGACAATTACATAATAATCGGTGTTTTTATTAATTACAGTTTCTCATCTATCTTCTAGGTCGCACCACATGGTTTTACATGTTTTACTAATTTAAAATGGATTCATTGACTAGAGTCTCTCAGGTCCGTTCGGAGTAAGAAATATTTTTGCTAACATCTTGGTTAGGTCGAAAAAATTGCAAAATATAAATCATTTTATCCAAGGCATTCAGAACTTTTTGTTCTTTAATAATGCCTTATCCAGTGAATTATCCACATATCTCCATGAGAGAGACGACTTCACTGTAATTGTTATAAATAACTGTCAATTCGACGTTCCATTGGTTGTAAACTTGCCTTTGAAATATTTGGAATCTTTAATTATCACCAAATGCGACTTAGACTTTTTGCCTTCGTTCGAAAATATGCCCAATTTATCTTCTTTGGAGATATCGTTTAGCTCATTAATGCAATTACCTTATAATCTGGAAATTTTACAAAATCTCACGGTGCTTAGACTTTCAAATAACAAAATAAGTAGTCTCCCCCCTGAAATATCCTTCCTTGAAAATCTTAAGGTTCTCGACTTAAGCCAGAATAGTCTACCCTTTCTACCAGCAGAAATCTGTGATCTTCGAAATCTCACATATTTTAATTGCGATATGAACGCTTTGACTAAACTACCCGATAATATATCTAATCTTATTCATCTTAAAGTTGTCCTGTTAGCTAAAAATTTAATCACATGCCTTCCCAACAGTTTTTCTCTTTTAAAAAGTCTGGTGCATTTAAACCTGAGCAGCAACCGACTTGAGTATGTGCCAGCTTGTATTCTTGAATGCTATGCCCTAAAAGAACTTATATTTTCCTGCAATGAGGCAGCAGAAACTGTTCCTGAAAACCTATGCAAATTACAATTTCTCGAAGTTCTATCTTTAGCAAATAATAAATTTACTAAACTTCCTAAATCTTTATCTAAACTTGAAAATTTAAGGCTATTCGATATCAGCGGCAATAAAATTGGACATGTTCCAGAAGAAATATTGAATAAGTGCAAATATCTAACACGGTTAAACTTGTGTTGCTGTAAGCTAAATGAAATTTCGGAGTCCCTTGGATTGTGCGAAAATCTTGAAGTGCTGAATATTAGTCATAATTTCATTAAAAGCCTTCCACAGAATGGAACCGGTCTGAAGAACTTAGTTTCTCTTGACATTTCGGATAATAGCATATCAATAATCCCAAGATGGGTTTGTGAGCTTAAAAAACTGTCTCATTTATCAGCTAATCAAAACCTCATTGAAGATCTACCCAAGGAATTTGAAGAGACAGCAAAGCAATTGCGCATACTTGATATCTCTCAAAATCGCCTCGAACAAATCCCCCAGTGCGCTCTTCTTAAAGATACCAAAATTACATATTTACAGATAGACAGCAATCCGATTTTAAATATTCCCCTCGAAATTTCTAACCTCCAATTTCTTACACACCTCTCGATAGCCAATTGCCCTTATATTTTTGAACTACCAGACGAGATTGGCTATCTAGTAAGACTTCGCGCGCTGATCCTCTGTTCAAATAGTTTATTAAAATTACCGCCAACGTTGCATAACCTCGACAGTCTCAATTACCTTGATCTATCTGACAACAAATTCTCCCGATTTCCCATTGTTGTCTGCTTTATTCCTCACTTAAAGGTGTTTCTCTATAATAATTGCTGTCATTCGTGTACATACTCTGAACCAGATCCTCCGGGGTGGTTTGAAAGAACAAGTTTTATCGATCCTACAGTTTCCATGGGTAAACTAGGCAAAGAGTATATTGATGAGGTCGATGATGAATATTTTCCGGATGCTGACCCAAAGGTAACCCTAGAAGAGGCTTTGTCAAGGGAAGAAGAAGAAACCAGAATTCAAAGTGTCACAGCTGAGGACTTTCCCTATTTAGTGTTCAGAAGAGGTCCACATTCCATTCCCAAACTCATTTCATACCTCCAATTTCTCGTTCATTTGTCTCTACAACGAAATGGTCTTTATTTTTTGCCCAACATCTTCGATAAATTCAAGTATTTAAAGCGAATCCATCTAAATGATAATAATCTGAGGAAAATTCCCCTCTCTCTAGCCGACTGCAAGACACTAACTCATATCGATTTGAGAAATAACAAATTGACAGCAATTAATGCTCCTATTTGTAAACTTCCAAACCTAGAATGCCTTGAACTGTCGGGAAACAACTTTCCAACTTCTCTTAATGAAATAATTATGAACTCCAATCTGAAAGTTCTATGCGAGTATCTTAAAACTCAAGAGGAAAATTCTAGTAAGTGATTTTTTGTATATTTTTTCATATACTGGATGATTATTAGAATATTTTATAATATTGATAATTGTCACTGTATTTTAAGAGGCTAATAAACAAATGATCCCATGGTTGAAGTACTTCAGTACACTATGAACAGCTGTCATTTGCAGATGAATACAGCTCGCCATGGGCGGAGTCGTCTGTATACTTTTTTGGCTCCAAAGGACATATAGAGTGGAGAGTGTTTATTGTAAATATTTGCTTATTTATATCAAATGGCAGGCTTTTTGATAACTGTCATTAGCCCTTTAGTTAACTCTGGGCTTCACTGATGGGAGGAACAGACCAAGTTCCAAGAAGTCGAGAGGGGGGGGGGGCTGGGAACAGAAGATTGATTCGCAGATGTAAAAGAGACAGCCAGAGACAAAGGCAGAGGAAAGGTAATGTGAGTACTGTGGAAGTGGTCGAATATGGCACAGTCAGTCGAGTCATGGTAGTTTAGAATGCGAAGTCAACTTCCGGATTATAGACCTTTTGCTGTATGAGTACACGTTGCCCAGGGTGCACCACGTGGAGATAGGTCTATCGCACACCCTTATATATTATTGCAAATTTGATGAACAGCAAAGCATGACCAGTAAGTAAATATATTCGACTCCAATTTCAACTAATACTTTTCGTGGATTAGCTAATATGGCCTCTGTAAACAAGATCACACCCGGTTGCAATGCTATCGTTTGTACGGCCACACTTTCAAGAACATTCTAGAGCTCGCGAAGTTTCCTTGATCAACCTTGATAGCGTTATATACTCCGCATATTTGAAGGCATTAATATAAAGGGAATCGGGAAAAAGGCCTTAGAGGTAAATTTCCCCATTTTAGGGGCTGGAAT